ATAGTTGTATAAGAACATACAATACAGCGGAAAAATGCATCACGCATTTCAGGTATAATGTCACTACATCGAATTACCATTCCTGAAACAGTTATTAGCTGATCCATATCTTCGGGATTAAGAAATCGCATATTCTTAGTTTTCTGCACATTAAAAGGTCGCACTTGAAGAGCCTTAGTAACATGTGTCAAATCTGCTGCTGGATATTTAGTGAAAAATACTTCATTAACAACTGTATCAAAAACTGGTATAACTTCTTGAGGATAGCATATTAATTGATCGTAAAGTTCAGAATCAAATTGATGCAAGTGACCACAGTTAATATCTACATATGGGATTTCCATTTCCAAAACATTACTCAATTTAGTCATATAATGAGGCAATTCAGATTCATTCACACAGAATGTCTCAATAAAATTTTGGAATCTTAATCGACATTTATCAACTACTACATCTGTACCCCATATAACTAAATTGGGAGCAACATCTTGATTTTCAAGATCAGGACGAGGAGCTCCATTTTCATAATTTGCAGTATCGACTTGCCTTTGTCGACGATTAACGGATAAGTTATTTCTTTGAACTGAACCACCACTACGCATTGTGAAACCTGTAGCCCGAGAATCTACAGAACTTAAAGGGGAGCCATAGTTTATGGGAGAGCTAAGATCTACTTCACTGGTGCGCAAACCTTGCAAAGGACTTGTCATAAAACGACGACTTGAAACAGAACCAGGTGTTCTGGTATGAGGTGATCGGCCATTAGTTCTTGGTGTCATGTTATTTCTAGAAGGCGTCCTTCCTGCCCTTGGAGTAGTAGTACCATTTCTGGTGGGAGTCCTTCCTTCCCTTGGTGTGGTAGCACCATTTCTGGTGGGAGTTCTGCCAACTCTTGGAGTAGTGGAATTATTTCGAGAAGGAGTTTGTTCTCCTCTCGGCGTATTTGCACCATTTCGAGGAGTACGGTCTCCCCTTGGCGTAATGTTACCATTTCTTTGAGGTGTGCGACCAGACATATCTTAAATTAAAATACAAYATTAATTACACTACTTATACCAACTTTAAATAAATATAAGTTATGAAGTTGAATTTACCTGATACACCTTAGAAACAGAAATAAAATGAAATGTGAAAATTAGAACAAATTTTTTTACAAAACAAATATTAAACCTAGTAATTATTATTACAATCTATAACAAGAAATATAAAAATACATATACATTTATATTAATCATAAGATCAGACTTGAATTCTGACCAAAAGATTCGAACGGTTAAGACTTTAAGAGTGAAAGGTGGAATCTGAAAACACTAAAACAGTGAAAACTGAAGAGTGGAGAAAATTATGAATTCACATTTAACAATAACAAAACAATATAAATATATCAACAAAATTGGCGGCAAAATATAAGAAAAGTACAATGATCGTAAATTATTTTTAAAGGTTAAGACTTATGAATCAGTGTAGCCAAAATTCAAACTACAAATAAAATTATCAATATAATATATAATGTACTTTGGATTTAATGATAGACCATAGACCTATTAACTAAGTTAATAGGTCTATGTGATAGACAATGGTAAATAAATTTATTATCTGATAAACATAAAATATTGAAGTGGCGCGTACATATTTTTTTAGATCTAACCGTGGATCTAACTGATATTAGCGACAAAGCATGTAAATACTAAATATCTTAACTATAAACATTTGACCACAGATATAATTCAACCATATTACTAGGTGTTGTGATGTTAACTTGTTACTTAATAAATATTATTATTATATTTAATAATTTTTATTTTATCCGTTAGTCATCACAGAATGGCATGTAAAAAATATTTGCGGTAATTACTGTTAACAACTTTACAGTTACTCTTTTGAGCATAAAGTTCAATATTAAAGAAACATTTGAGTTATAATTCTGTGGATTATACTTAGGTTTTCTATTTCATTTTTGGAACCTGATTTTGATGTGAGTAAAATCATAAATTATTTTAATATTCTAAGCACTTTTATAAAATTATTTTATTATRCATTATTAGGTTAGGTTTTACACTCAATAATTTATACTGCATTATTGCATATATTATTGTTGGAAAATATAATAAACTGATGGAAAAATTATGGTTAGCAGTACTTCAAATCACTTAATTTTTCTGGGATCGCCAACCATAATTAATTACAATGAATTTAAATGTTAATCAGTGCAATAATATATTTACAATATAATGATTATATTACTTTTACTAGCTACTAAGACCCACCATATAGGTACATGGAAACYTACCTTAAAATTATTTATTTTTTCTTTAGATGTGGGGGCATGTGCCCTCTCCTGCACTTAGATGTTTGCGCTATTGCCCATTGTTGGTTAGATATGTGTAACTAACTATTCTAATTTTTTTTTTTTTTATGTTGCACCTACCAATGTTTAATGCTTGTTGTTTGTTTATATTTTCTTTTGATTATTTACCACTTACTAGAAGTGAATTGTGATTATTAAGGCTAGTTAGGAGGTAGTAAGAACTTAGACAGAAAGAAAATATATTATTTTGTGAGTTCTTAAAAATTATATAAATAGCCAGAGRTAGAGTCTATCTGACCAGCTTTAGTTGTGCCTTACATTCTAAATTATCTATTATGTYCCCAATAATGTTATTTAAATAATAGCAAATTTCTAAATTGTTTTAAAATAGAAAGAGATTAATGACATTTATTAAATTCAGACATAATTACATACCTAATGTATGATTTATATCAATTTCTAAGCAATATGTTTATATTTTTGTTTWAACAGATTGAGTAACTAAATATATTAAAATTAAAATATATATTTCTATAATACCTAAATATATCATGGCATCAAAATTAAAAACTACGGATACAGAAAAATTAAATATGGGAATGAAATCAATAGTAAATGAATTTGAAGTCAGTTGTAATAAAGCCAAACAATTGAAAGACAACAAAGAATTATGCAATCAAATGGAATATATTCTCAAAACTTTATCAATTGAAGGAGAAAAAAATGACTATGCTTCACAACTTTTAAATTTCAAAGAATCAGTGAAAAATGAACAATTGTTTTACTTTAATAAAACTGGAATTTCTCACAACTTTTTATCAAAAAATATGCTGTTAGAATCTGCTGCAATCATTCTACAAGAAACCGGCGTTGATGATTATAATACAAGTAGTTTATTCACTAAATATATGTCAATGATTGAAAAATGTAATAAACAAAAAGAGTTTATTGATGACATTGATGAACATTTAAATAAATTAAAAATAGTAATCGAACAACAGAATGATCTTAAATGTGAATTATCTAATATAAATTACTCACCTGTAGGCTATACAGCTGAACCTATCAATATTAAGCCAATTAAAAATACACAAACTGTAGACAACTGTGACGAAATTGTCAAGTTGGTCAAAAAAATAACAGACATTGAAAAGAAACAAGAAGAAATCTATTCAGCAACTAACGAACTAAAATCTGAACAGAAAAAAATGTACCATGGATTACCACCAAATATGGATCAAGCAATGATGGCAGTACAAATAGCAGAACAAGCAATGAAGGCTATAACTAAAAAATTAATGGAAAAACTTTAGAAAATATAATGATCATATACTACTGATTATCTTYAACATAGTGTATCAAAAATATTATTTTTTTTGTCACTTATTATTGTAATAATTGTTTTATGCACTGTATTTATGTAAAACTTGATTTCTTAACATATAAATTATTAATTTAAATGTATACATATTTTTTT